TCTCACAGGAAAATAACCAGAGGCACACACATGTCTTTTCTGAGGTCTGGAGCTGAGGAGCTGGTGAGTGGGGAGAGTGTGCCTGCCAAGTAGTGCATGCCTGCCATTTCCATTAGCTCAGTGGAGCTAACGGAAGTAGGAAGGAATCCATCCTGGCTGTTTGATTGACAGCCAGGGGGGCGTTCACTAGCAAACCTATAAAAGTGCTGATGTCTCATAGAAATCAGCCCTTTTATAAACTAGGGTTACACTATGCTACTCTTCACCCATAAAGCTCTTCAGCAAACTGAAGTGCTTTTGGGGTGTTGAGTGTTTCTTTAAGTTCTAATTAAGGACCAGTGACGTTCATTACCTAGAGCAAGCATACTCATAACTTTTTCAAAGAGAGCATCAATTACCTTTTGCTAGAAGGCTTGTGTGATGATCACATGTTGGAAGTCATCAAGTAAATAATGTGCATGTATGAATGTTCATTGTTTTCGATATCATAGATGTGCTAATACTGATGCAAAATAAAAAGAGATATCTTTTATATAGTAAAATGTAAAAAAAAAGAATTGACAGGGCATAGATTTTACAACCATATTTTCTTTAATTCCAGAAAGATTGTTAACAGTATGAGTAAATCAGGAAGGTCACATTCTAGGTCAGTGAAAGAGTTGGGGGAGTAAAAGAGCCATACCGGAATATGTACAGATTGTTGTAAAAATGTAATTTAATTTATTTTACAGACTGCTTCCTGTAAGGTAGGAAAGGACATAAAAAACAGAGTTTTTTTCTCTATATAAAACGGAGAAATACTGATTTTAATGAAGGTTACTTTAGACAATAAATAGAGTCACAGCCGAATATATAAATTTAATTAATAACCCAAGTTAAATAATTATCCAAATATTATATCCAAAATGCATACTGATCAATAACATAGCTAATCTGTATAATAATGATTTGATAACAAATCTAATAAATATCAAAACAGATTTACCCCTATGAGCAATTTAAACTAAACTGTTTGCAGGAAATCGTTTATTAGTAATAGTATTTCTAAACTCGCATTGTTTAAACCACTTCATGCAAAATCCTGAGCACACACAGGCAGCTATTGACCACCGCTTGCACCCAAACTTTTATATACAGGGTGGGACAAAATTCAGAATAGGTTTTGAGGAGTCAATAACTTTTTTTATTAATGAACCAATTTCAATGATATTGCATACAATTAATGCTTAACGTATGGAGATTTGTTTGACTAGGTACAGAAGATTACATCTTTTAAATGAGCTCTATTTGCTGCCTCACAAACTCAGGCTCTCGATTGCATTGCTCATAACATTATTTAATGTTTGAGGCTTTAGTGCTGTAATTTCTGAACGGATATCCTCATTGAGCTGCTCAAGTGTATGCTGTTTGTTCACATACACCCGCTCCTTCAGATATACCCATAGGATGTAATCGTGAGCTAAACGTGAATTTCTGCAGATTGTTCGCTCTCCAAATAATCTCAGGAGGTCCATTGTGGCCCTGGCTTTATAGCAGTAGACCCATCTTGTTGAAACCACATTTCAGGACAATTTTCCCTTTGTGTCAAAATAACAGACCTGCCATTTTGAAGATAAAATACCACTATTTTTACTTGTTGTTCCTTTGTGAAATTACCCATGGTGAATCTTCCAGGACTCAGTTATAATATGTACCAGCAACAACAAAAAAATGTAACTGCTAGCAAATAAGTTATTTACCGGTCAGATCCTACTCTGAATGTTGTCCTTCCCTCTATATTGGGTTGATCAAAAATGATCTTGCAGTCAGTCTTTATGTCACACAAAGAAGGTCTACATATGACATCACCTTTCTACAGTGTTGCTAAAAGCTGAATCTGATGGGACTCAAATACAACCTTTAAGGGACTCATGCTAACAACATTAGTCAGCACTACTTTTCAGGTACAAACACTAATTTATAACAGAGCCACTGCTTTATCGAATGTGGCAATAGAGCCATATACAATATATGAACATGCAGATTGCAATGGTATTAAGTTGTTTATTTGTTACATGAATAGGGTATTTGAAACCACTATATGTGCTAAAATAATACCAACAGAATTGAGAATATGTCTCATATCGCATTTTCATTTGCTCGAAAAAGAGATCTGAGTTTAAACAGATTCCCTGATATACATATCGGGGTTTTTTTTTTCTCTGTACATTTCTATTAATTTTTTAGCAGTAGATGAGCAGTACCCACAAACAGCTTGGAAGTCCTCCACATTCATTTTACAATAGCAAAAAGTGAGGAAAAGTCATATATATCCCAGACTCACTATCCACCTGCTTTTCGCTTTTGCAAATTGCTTTGTGTATTCATGCACATCTTCTAAGCATGAAAGATGCCGATGTCATCACCTACTTCATGGAAGACACTGAGGATGAGCTGTGTGCTACAAAATCAAATTCAAGCTGAATTTGAAGTGAATTTCAAAATAGCCAAACTGGAAATATACTCTAAATCTTATCTGACCTTAAATTTAAAATTCCCTTTAAATTCTTGCTTTATTGAATAACCCTGATGGAAACCTTGAGCAAAAACCTCTCTAATAGTGCTCAAAGGGCATGTGTCAACAAAATGCATTGGCTTTCACTTTGGAAAAGCCGCAGATATTATTTGCACCATGCTCTGCTCGGGAAAATAAATGCAATTAGACATAAATTGGGCAGTATATTTGGTTCTATAAGATATAGCAGATTTTCCTACTCGATTTATAAAATAAATAATAACATAAAAGCAATAGTACATCTATCCCCAATATTGAACGAATTGATTTATTCATGCTATCTATGCATTACATGTTTCTTACCTATTGTAGGCAACAGGTTCCATGACCTCACAATGTATACAAAAACCACAAGTAGTCTGTGCCACTATCGCAGTAGAAATTATAATAAATTATAGTACATAAAATATAATGATATTTCACTCAGTTAATGTGGACTGCACATATAGATGCTCCCAGTACTGGTTCCACTACTCAACAATTAGTTATTCAATAAAAGCAAACTGTTATAGATCCAGATGGCCATCTACGGGGGTTGATTTTTTTTTTGTCTTAGGATGTAATTTGATAGCCCAACTTGATGTCTGTATTTATATTATGCAGTTGATTTTGCTACAGTGTAAGCATAATGCAAATCTTTTTCATCTTTTCAGCGATTTTATAGTTGAAGTACCATGACTTTTGTGAGATTCTTTTTTTTTTAAAGTTATTGATATTCAAAAGCAGACATGTCAGGTTAATGGAACACTTGCCAATAAGAACAATTGCATAGTGCAAAAACACAGGCATATGTGTTATTTTAATTAAGTTACCACTTTTAAATTAACTTTAAGAGAGAAAAGAGGAAGATATAAGAAGTTATTTAAAAACTAAAGGTACAGATGACAATCCGTGTTCACGTAGTGGACCGAACATGCTCTAAATGAACTTTGGGAATTACATTATTAACAGCGATAAGTGCAGAGATGTTGATTAGCATGTGAAGGTGGTTCGGTCTGTCAATGGTCTGAAGGCGTTGGAGAAGAGCTGGGAGGGTGTTTATTGGGTGATACATGTCGAACTCAAGATAACCAAGTAAAGGTTTGCCTGTTGTATGTGCTCATATAATAAGTGCTCAGTGAGTTCCTCCATACATCTAATGTCCTCCACTCTGGTGCGTCACTCAAAGATGGATGGTATATGTGTAGGTCTCCAGCATAATGGAATTAACGTTTTGGCAGCTAACAAGATGAATGGTAATCATGATTTCCAGAGTTTGGATATTGATATAGATGTGGTAGAAGCAGAACTTCCCCTGAGTGGTTCGAAATAGGGAGGCCGCTTATGTTTCAAATTAGGGCCAGATTCTCTGACCTGTATATCTGGGATAGATGGGATAGATGGATTGTGTAGTTTTGCTGAGGTGTGATACCATCTAGAAAGTAGTTTAAATCCTGCCGCTAAGAATTTAACACTAATTGTAAGTGAGTCGGTAAGTTGAAAATTCCTATGCCACTGCGGTTGAATATCTAAGTCCACTTCCCAAGTTCCATTTATTGGAACTTACAAGCCAATACATTATAGATAGTGGGCGAGTGAGGTGTTCCTGTTTGGAGCAAGAGTGTTCAAAGTTCGTATGGTGTTTCCATCCGCTGTCAAGGTCCAGAAGTGTGCAGAGGTAATGTAATAGTTGATGATGCTTTATTTTTTTTTCCTTCTCACTATACTGAATGGTAATTCCAGCCAATCCAGTTGTTGGCAAATTGTTTTGGTGCTTCAACACCATTTTGTATATATGATATATTTTAAGATTAGTCTATTCCTGTAAGAGAAAATTCACTGGAAACTGAATTGAACATTTGTATTCTCAATGTAAACTCCATTATACACATCAAATAAACAGCTTACGATGGGCATCTTAGGCAATTAAGATAATTAAGTGGGGGGGGGGGGCTATTGTCCCTGCTCTTACCCTTAAGGTACCCGTTGAAATAGCTTTTTTGAAGAATTTAACCCATAAAATAATTATATAAATATCACTCCTTCTGTCGGCAACCTGAACTGACCTTGTTTTATTTTTTCACTAACTCTGATTTCCAATGTTTTGATTCTTGGGTAGTAGACTGTTTCACCTTTCTGCAGACACAGTACCTCTTTTACCCTTTGATGTCTTTGAAGGTATTTAATCAATCCCAGCTTTCTTAACTGGTAACATATTTGCCTGTTTTCCTGCCTCATTTTCAAGCATATGTCATGGTGCCTCAGGATACCTTTCATTATCTACAATGGGATTATGTGATGGCACTATGCTCATGCCTTTACATAGTTTAATGAAGATGATATCGTTCTAAAAACTGCTCTATTTCTTTCTAAGGCCACAAGACAGGAAATAGGCTCTTTACATAATAGGAAATTAACACTAAATCAAAGCCTTCATTAATTTCTCTTAATTATTTTGATGCATTTCTACATCTCTATGTACCTGACCCCATAACAAACCATACTTTGATTGTTTATTTCCATTTAATTATTTGTGTATGTGAGCCAATGGCACCAAATAGTCATGAGATCATCTGTGATTTCAGCAGTCTCTATGTGCCCATGATCAGCTATGATTCCCATGCACTCCTCCCTTTTATAATTGTTACAACATGTTTTTTTATGTTAGCCAGTAATATTTCATCATTGTGTACTAAGATTAGCCATCTTTATATAATTCAGCTGTGAACACATGCATTTATGGATGGAAAAAAAAAAATCACTGCTGTCAAGCGCCACATTTAGTTAGGTAACCTTATTGGCACCCAATACCTGAATGCAAAATACAATGGGACAGTATAATGATGGTAAACAAAAAATATTAAACTTTTTATATATATAAATAGGTCCAAATTCTGTAACTATAACCCCAATGAAAGAGCTGCTCTCCTTTAAAAACCAGCACCAATAAACAAATAAAATAAGTCTAATATAATATTATTATTCTTTTATTATTTATATAGCGCTAGCAAAATCCATAGCGCTGTACAATACAACCTTAAATAACAAAAGTGTCCTTTGTTGGTTTATGGGATGGCTTATGAAGCCGTATCCAGGTGAATTAAGTTTTCTTTGATATGATTATCTTCAGCAGTAACAAGAATAACAATATTAAATCTAGAATAGAAATTGAGGATATTGTATAATTTTCTAAAAATGTTATTTTTGTTAAATATTATCCACTTCTGTTCTATAATACAGGGAGTGCAGAATTATTAGGCAAGTTGTATTTTTGAGGATTAATTTTATTATTGAACAACAACCATGTTCTCAATGAACCCAAAAAACTCATTAATATCACAGCTGAATATTTTTGGAAGTAGTTTTTAGTTTGTTTTTAGTTATAGCTATGTTAGGGGGATATCTGTGTGTGCAGGTGACTATTACTGTGCATAATTATTAGGCAACTTAACAAAAAACAAATATATACCCATTTCAATTATTTATTATTACCAGTGAAACCAATATAACATCTCAACATTCACAAATATACATTTCTGACATTCAAAAACAAAACAAAAACAAATCAGTGACCAATATAGCCACCTTTCTTTGCAAGGACACTCAAAAGCCTGCCATCCATGGATTCTGTCAGTGTTTTGATCTGTTCACCATCAACATTGCGTGCAGCAGCAACCACAGCCTCCCAGACACTGTTCAGAGAGGTGTACTGTTTTCCCTCCTTGTAAATCTCACATTTGATGATGGACCACAGGTTCTCAATGGGGTTCAGATCAGGTGAACAAGGAGGCCATGTCATTAGATTTTCTTCTTTTATACCCTTTCTTGCCAGCCACGCTGTGGAGTACTTGGACGCGTGTGATGGAGCATTGTCCTGCATGAAAATCATGTTTTTCTTGAAGGATGCAGACTTCTTCCTGTACCACTGCTTGAAGAAGGTGTCTTCCAGGAACTGGCAGTAGGACTGGGAGTTGAGCTTGACTCCATCCTCAACCCGAAAAGGCCCCACAAGCTCATCTTTGATGATACCAGCCCAAACCAGTACTCCACCTCCACCTTGCTGGCGTCTGAGTCGGACTGGAGCTCTCTGCCCTTTACCAATCCAGCCACGGGCCCATCCATCTGGCCCATCAAGACTCACTCTCATTTCATCAGTCCATAAAACCTTAGAAAAATCAGTCTTGAGATATTTCTTGGCCCAGTCTTGACGTTTCAGCTTGTGGGTCTTGTTCAGTGGTGGTCGTCTTTCAGCCTTTCTTACCTTGGCCATGTCTCTGAGTATTGCACACCTTGTGCTTTTGGGCACTCCAGTGATGTTGCAGCTCTGAAATATGGCCAAACTGGTGGCAAGTGGCATCGTGGCAGCTGCACGCTTGACTTTTCTCAGTTCATGGGCAGTTATTTTGCGCCTTGGTTTTTCCACACGCTTCTTGCGACCCTGTTGACTATTTTGAATGAAACGCTTGATTGTTCGATGATCACGCTTCAGAAGCTTTGCAATTTTAAGAGTGCTGCATCCCTCTGCAAGATATCTCACTATTTTTGACTTTTCTGAGCCTGTCAAGTCCTTCTTTTGACCCATTTTGCCAAAGGAAAGGAAGTTGCCTAATAATTATGCACACCTGATATAGGGTGTTGATGTCATTAGACCACACCCCTTCTCATTACAGAGATGCACATCACCTAATATGCTTAATTGGTAGTAGGCTTTCGAGCCTATACAGCTTGGAGTAAGACAACATGCATAAAGAGGATGATGTGGTCAAAATACTCATTTGCCTAATAATTCTGCACTCCCTGTATAATCAATAGGAACTAAAAAAAAAAGTGTTCTGAATCTATGTATAACTACTACATTTCACAGTGTTTTTTTTCTGATATAACAGTAACTTGCCTATTAAATCTATTTTCTATATTGCTGAACACAATATCTGAGCGATGTATTTCTTATGGGGTTAGGAAAAGTAGCTGTTATTCCTTTCGACCTTCAGAATGGTCAGTAAAATATATTCACTATCAGAATGTTAATGACTGTTTCCCTGCAATACTGATTATAAACGCATAGAAAAAGGAGAGAAAATGAAAGACTGAACATCTTGTTGCTAACAGTGAAAAATGAACTTGTTTATAAAGTAGAACACATGGGGATTTTTTTTTCATGGTCAAAAATAGTGTGAGTAGGAAAGGATTGGAGAAAAGCCAGATCTTAGATATTTCACAACTGGGGACATAGTGGTGATTGCCAATGATTTGATGATTTCTGCATCCAAAAGGTTCTACTTATTCATTTTCACAATAACAAAATAACAATGCATGAAATGTTATCATCTGGCAATGCTACTCTGTTGAATTGGTATTTACCACAACAACAAATCTTAATTATTTAATTAAAGCTTGAGAAATTGTTGGGTAAACAATCCACGAATATCTGTTATGGGATCAATAAAAACGGAACCTGTGTTATATATTTATTTAATTTAATTAGGTTATGCAAATACATTGTTTCTGTACCCTTAACAATTTTTATTCACATTCTGTTAACATAAAATACAAGCAGATTGAGGATTTTTTACAAAATACTTCTCTACCAAAAAGAAAGGAGATCTAAATCATTGTGTTGGAAAAAAGTCAGTAAAGACTTAGTCAGTAATAGCTAATCTAGGCAAAACAGATGCTTGTCAAACACATTTCCCATGATAGAATGCCAGATATAAATTGTGCCTGTACTAAGTATTAACCAATGGAATTGTATGCTTATGGTAAATCCATCCAATTCACAATCAGTGTGTGGGTTAGTATGAAATAGCATAAAATCACCACGATCTTCCATAATGAGAAAGGAATCCCAGTCTTCCTCTTATTCCCATAGTCCATGTCTTGTGTGTCAAGGGTCGTGGTAACCTGCAGCAATGCTCTGAATTGCAGAAGATCGCAAGGTCTCTTCTACACGGTCTGCAGCTCTGCATCAGGCAGAGCTGTAGATCAGAGGCTGTGCTAGGCAGACTGCATGGAGAAGCCTCACACCCAGTGGCATACAGGGCAAGTCGCTGTCCCCCTCCCACCCACCCCGGTGTCAGGCCCTCGGTCATGGCTTAACCCCTTAAGGACCAAACTTCTGGAATAAAAGGGAATCATGACATGTCACACATGTCATGTGTCCTTAAGGGGTTAAAGACTCGACGCAACCGGTTCAGCGAACTTGTTACATTTTAGAAACAGGTTTGCGCAAACCCAGTGAATCCCACCACAGGGGCCAAGGGATAGCTAGCAGCCACTATCTAAAAAAATGTATTCCAGTCTTAAATATATGTGGGCGTGATGATAATATTGTAAAGTAAGCTGTTATCAACTTTGCAGATACAGCATATTTAAATTAGGCCTACATATCCCCCCTCCCAAAAAAATGAAGGTTATGTAACTGCTGATAACTGAACTGGCCTTTCACCTGTGATGCAAATGGAAATTAAATCAACTTTTTAAAAGCCCAATATTCATATTTTGTAGTATTTTTTAAAGGAGCTTGAAACTACTTCAAACTGAGTGTAGTGCATGCAGTTTACTGGTGCCTAGTTAATTCCTGTAATTATTAGAATTTTCAATTCTGGAAATAAAAAAAGTCACACATATATAAGTGAATATATAATTAGGCTCTCAGTCTTTGGAAGTGCTATGGCCTCGTGGATGCCAGGGGCTGAGATTCTCATGATTCCACTCCATAAACTATAACTTGGAGGTGTAATGGGTGGGCACACACAAGTTCAGACACAATGGTGGGACTACCGCCACTGCACTGGGGCTACCTGCTCAGGAATCCCATCGGGTGGCCCCTGCACATAGGGTCACTCAATGAACATCTTTGATCGGGTGCTCGGAGTAAGGGAGTATAAATCACTTTCTCCCAGGTTACCATGGAGCTGCGGAAGAGGGAGAGTAATCTCTGTGTGTGTATATGTTATATGTATGTCTGCTATTTATGTGTCTGTGTGTGTATCTGTGTATATATGTGTTATTTGTGTTTGTATGTGTGCCAGTGTTTGTATCCTTCTGAGTGTCATTGTGTATATCTGTGTCTCTGTATCTGCATGTGCATCAATGTGTGTATCTGTGTGTCTGTATGTGTATTAGTGTGTCTGTGTGTAAGTGTGTGTTTCTGTGCATCTGTGTGTGTGTCAGTATGTGTCTGTGTATCTGTATGTCTGTACCTGTGTATCTGTATGTGTGCCAGTGTGTGTATCTATATGTCTGTATCTGCATGTGTGTCTGTGTATCCAGATGTGTCAGTGTGTGTCTGTATATGTGTGTGTGTATGTGTATCAGTGTGTGTGTGGCAGTGTACATGTATATGAGTATACCAGCATTCAAACTCCAACACTACACACAAATATATCCCTGTATTCAAACATCAACACTACATAAACACATCCTTACATTAGAAACCAAACACTACACACTAGTAAACTACTGCTTTCAAATGGCAAGAGTACATAAAAGCACATAACATAAAACTCCACACAAATACTAACCTACATTCATACACACATACTCCATACAAAAACATGCTTACATTCAAACATACCAATCCTGATCAATGGTAAGTACAACCCTGCAAGGATGGAAAAATAGTAGATTCCCAGGTAATGGGAGTTGTACTACAAATCGGAGTGTACCTTTTTGTCTATCCTTGTGATAGCGGGCCCAAAAAAAATTCCTCTCAATTTTACATAAACAAAACACTGGAAGTGACTAAAATGAAAGTACTGCATAATAAACAACTTAATAAATGCAACATCTTAATAAAGAGTAATTTGTTTTGCCAGAAATCAAAATCAGACAAATATAAACTAAAATATAAACTCTGAATCAACATCTGAAGTGAAAAATTCAGGGCTATCTAAAATGTTAACAAAATATCTTGGTAATATCGGATCTGATTTCTGTGTAATCATTAATTTAGGTGATGCTGCCAAATTAAATTTGCATATTTGAGATTAATTTACATTGATTTCAGCAATTATTTAAAATGCAATTTTAGTTATTTCCACATTTTTTATTTTAGGTGCATATTTCATCCCTATTAAATAGCCCATTAACAATGAAATATTAGCATTTTATTATGTATTATGCAAAAAAAAAATAACTAAGTGTTTACAATTTAGTTTATTTATTTTTTTAACTTTTCCATTTAGTCTTATATAAATAGTTAGGCGGAACTTGGAATAAACGTGGAATAAAAATCAGACCTAGAAATTATCCCATGCCAGCCGATCCCCACCCTTTGCTACTTTATGCATATGGAAACTACCTCGCCTCCTCTATTTGCTCCTCTGGTCCCCCACAGGACTTTCTAAACTTTTCCTACATAAACTCTCCCACATCAAATCCTTTCTTCTGTTAACTACCTTGCATCAGTTTTCTTATACCTCAGTATTGCTCCTAACTCCATCATTCCTAAACTAGTGTGAAGAAATTCGATTTGGCCAAACCATTTTTTCCATAAAGAATACATTTTTTCAAGACGCCTACATTTTTGGCCTTATGTCAGTTTGGCAGAATTTCAGTACTAAAAAACTGATTCAGGAAACAAACCAGACCAACCAAAATGGCGTGAAAATTGGCAAATCAGTATACTGCAAAATATGAACCAAATAAAAGAAGAAAAAAGTTACCTGCGCTCTTCCCAAATCTCTATGCATATTTAAACAGATGGAGGTTATTTATAATTATTATTATTATTATTGGCATTTATATAGCGCCAACAGATTTCGTAGCACTTTACAATATTATAAGAGGGGGAATTTAGGTATAAATAGGTCAAATACAAGAAAACTTACAGGAACGATAGGTTGAAGAGGACCCTGCTCAAACGAGCTTCCAGTCTTTAGGAGGTGGGGTGTAAAACACAATAGGACAGGGAATAGAAATCAAAATAGGTGGGAGTGAAGCAGAGCTGGAGGAGAGAGTAGAGTGCAGCCCTTTAGGAGAAAGTAAGAGACAGGTATGTGAGGTAGAGGTTACTCTCGGAGGCCATACATATTCCTAAAAATATGGTTTTAAGGCACTTCTTAAATGATTGGGGGAGAGTCTGATGGCGGTAGACAGGCTGTTCCATAGGAAGAGAGCTGCTTGCGAGAAGTCCTGCAAGCGTGAGTTGGCTGGACGAGTGCGAGTAGCGGACAGGAGAAGGTCACGGGCAGAGCGGAGAGATCGAGAAGGGGCATACCTATGGATCTGTGAAGAGATATAAGAGGGGCTAGAATTGGTCAATGCTTTATAGGTATGGATTAGCATTTTGAATTGACTCCTATAGGATACAGGAAACCAATGTGAGAACTGACAAAGGGGTGAGGTGTGAGAGGATCGACTAGAGAGGAAAATCAGCCTGGCGGCAGCATTCATTACAGACTGTAGCTGGGCAATACGGTTTTTGGGAAGACCAATTAGGAGAGGGTTACAATTATCCATGAGGGAAATTACTAGAGCATGGACCATCTTGCGTAAGAAAGGGGCGGATGAGGACTATGGTTTTAAGATGGAATCTACAGGATTTGGTAACAGGCTGGATGTGAGGCTCAAAGGTGAGGGTAGAATCAAAAATGACACCAAGACAGCGCACTTGCAAGGATGGACTGATGTGGATACCACTGACTTGAAGGAAGAGCGAAAGAAGAGGATCAGTATTAGGAGGAGGAAAGACAAGGAGTTTTAGAGAGATTTAGTTTTAGAAAGCGGGAGGACATCCAGTCAGAGATGGAGGAAAGGCAAGCAGTGACACGTTGCAGGACGGAAGGGGAGAGAGGTCTGGGGAGGAGAGATATAGCTGGGTGTCATCAGCGTACAGGTGGTAGTAGAGGCAATAAGTTTGCCAAGAGAGCCAATATAAAGAGAAAATAGAAGGGGACCAAGGACAGAGCATTGGGGACTCCAATAGAGCAGGATGAATGGAGGAGGTATCATTAGAAAAGGAGACACTGAATGAGCGTTGGGAGAGATAGGAGGAAAACCAAGAGAGGACAGTGTCACAGAGACAGAATGATTGAAGAGTTTGAAGAAGGAGAGCATGAGCATGATTTAGGTACTCCAATGGCCATGTGTGATACTTATTGTGTAACACTTCTTTAATTGGAACTCAACTGCAGAATTTTCTGAGTGCAGGAACAATAAGTTTCACCTCCTTTTGTATTGAAGTGAAACAATGGTGACTGTATCTTTAAATAAATAAGCAGGAAAAATGCAAAGTTAGTTCCAACTTGAATAAGATGGAATAATTTATGAGAAATTTAATAATGAAGTTGGACAGGCTTGCAGTTTGAATAAATTGATATTGGTAGGAAGAATTAGCCTTAGCAACAATCCCTATTTGTTAAGTGAGAGATTAGAGAAATTAAATACTACAAAATAATTGATATGACTTGGTTTCCTTGGCAAAAGATTTACTTAATAGAGGCAGTCTGGCACTGGAAGGGTTAATTCACCCAAATACTGAAAATCAGGAGTGGAGAGAAAGGAAGTCCGTTTTTAGGTGGGAGTGAAGCAGGTAGAAATCCGTTTACAAGCCGAGGTCTGGGAGAGGAGAAGGTAGAAATCCGTTTACAAGCCGAGGTCTGGGAGAGGAGAAGGTAGAAATCCTTTACAAGCCGAGGTTGAGAAGTGGAGCCGGTAGCATCAAGTAGAGCAGCTGATCTCACTGCAGCACCTGAGTGAATAATCCAGCCCTTTGAATCTGGCGCGGTCTTCCTAAGTATCGTGGAAGCACCGCGTCAGATAAAGGGGCGGGGCTAAGCGCCGTTATCCCGGAAGTGGGTTCCGGCGGCAGCATGAATGTTAGAGTATACCTGACACCATGACAGGGAATGCCCAGCTGCCATGTCAAGGCAAACCTCTTATGTGGGTCCTACACTATCCATTTACTATTCACCTTCAGAAGCTCAAGGAAGCAAGGGGAATAGTCAGTGTAGGACCCACCTAAGAGGTTTGCCTTGACGTGTCAGTGTGTAAGTGTGTATCTCTGTGTGTAGATGTGCCAGTGTTTTTATCAGTGTGTGTGTGCACCAGTGTGTGTATCAAAGTGTGTGTATCTGAGTGTGTGTGTATATGTGTGTGTGTGTATTTGCCAGTCTGTTTGTGTCAGAGTGTGCGTGTGTCCAGAAGTGTGCATGTATCAATGTGTTTGTGTGTATCTGCATGCTAATGTATATGTATATCTGTAAATGTATGTGCATACATCCCAGCAATCAAACACAATATGCAAACACACCCCTGCAAACACAAACATTGCATACACACAAGTACCCCCTAACAGTCCAGGATTTAGGGATTACCAGGTTGTGTCTGAAGTGCACACACATATTCTATATAACAACACACAGCTCACATTCAAATGCACAAACGCTACTCACAAATACAGCCCTGCAAAGATGGGAGTTGTACGATAGATGAGGATCTATCTTATCTCCAATCTTTCACTAGAGAGGAGGCCAAAAAAACTTTCTTGCACAAAGGCCCTCTCTACATTAGTTCTGCCACTGTCTTGTGGTGGAGGGCATGATTGCATGCCAGGGGGTAAAAGTGTGGGGGGGAGGGCAACATCCAGGGGGCCCAAGCAAATGCTTTCCCAGAGTCCAATCAATGTTAAAAAACGGCCCTGACAAAATCCCATGTGTATCAAGTGCAAAGAAAGCCACACATTTGGACCTGCACCCAGGCCAAGTCTCCCTGAGTGTGTGTGTGTGTGAGGGGGGTGGGGGGAAGAAGGTGGATGTTAAATGAGGTTTAACAGGTTAAAGTGAGCATGTACATAAACATGTTTGAAAATGAGTTAATAAACCAAAAATGAATAATATGGCATTTAATTTTAACATTTGCATTGTAGCATTGACACAATAAACATGGTTTAGATAATTAACTGTATGTTTTGTGTTTTTACAATGGCATTGTTAATGAAAGTATATAAAATATACCAGAATATTACTAAAACAAAATAATTACTACTTTCCCCCACTGACCGATGAGTCAGTATTAACAGCAAGTTTAAAAACAGTGCTCTGGAGTATCAAGGAATATAGTTAAGCGGAAATTATAATAATAGATTGAAGATCGGGAACAGGCTTTGAGGTCTGGAACAGTCAAAGAGAAGTATGATAAAACAAACGATAACAACTTTAGAAAACGAGAATGACTTCATTGGAAGAAAAATCTTAATTATATCTTTTGAAAGGATGATTAACCCCGTCTGACAGGCAGTTTGAATAAACTAGCACAGTTAAAAGAAACCAACTGTTATTTTAAGATAAAAGGTAATTAACATATATTTCAATATGAGAGGTATTCTTCTATAACTCAAGAACATATGGTACCTGGTCACCTTAGACTGGGGCAAGAACACCATTCTACCTGCTATGTATTAACCGAAGGACAATATTTTTTGGTCTTTAAAGATTTTATTCTAAAATGGATTATACCATTAATTTAGTGATAGCAAGGCTGTATAGACCTATAAAACAGCTAAATATGACACACCAATTGGCTGTTATGACGTGACGCATGTACGGGCTCACTCACGCCTGGAGGAGGAGACTGGCCGCATTTGAAAATGAAGAGAGCGTTCATGCCACGGTATACTAGTACCGAACGGGTGGCTGTTTTGAATCCGGGATATGTGCTTTTATACCCAGTACACATAGGAGTGACTTGTTCTGGAGAGAAGACAGTTTGGAGTTGATGTGCTGCCAGTTTTGGGGTCGAGCAGGATTGCAGTGTATGCACTGCTATACTCCTTGGGACAGCAGAGCAGAACCCATTTCCCACATGTTGCTGGTGCCTGGGCATGAGCAAGTTTACAGTGTCTGCACTGCTATAGCCCAAAGGAATAGGGGAAGAGCAGAAACTGAAGAGATCTGATACAGTAATCAGATCAAAAAGAGACAGCTGCTCCAGCATAAAAAAGATGAGTACAACATAATAACAAACAATTTAAATATGCTATATACTCTCTAATGCTGTATTTGGAGGAAAGTAGAAACAGAAGAAGATATAAAGAGAAGGGAAGAAACAATTATTCCATTCTGGATGGATATACTTTTTTTGTTTTGTTTCTCTTTTCTTCCTTTGACTCTCAGTTTCTACTTTTTTTTTTTGCCTTTCTGGCTTAGAGATTCACCCTTTAGAAATATATCCCCAAGGGCAATATTATCTCATCACCTCTTAGAGATATAATTAAAATGTACTTCTACATGTAAAATGGCCACCAAAAGCCAGACGACAAAAAGGGATGAGAGAACTAGACAGGTGCTCAGAAAGAAATTGTATTTCTTTATTTCCCTTTTCAGGAGTATATATGAAAATGTCTTAAATACTATGTATATTAGCTATTTATAGAGGTTTTCTATTACATAGAAGCGTTTAGGAGAGCGATGAGGCGGGTGGGAGTAGCTTTACGCTCTTTTTTTCCCCCCCACATTTGTATTTTACGGGCATCAAAGCTATATACGTAATACAATCACACCGATCAATGCAGACCAGATATCCTCTTTATGTCTCCATATGAGATATAGTTATTGCATGATATATTTCATGCAAAGTAAGAATCTGGAAAGAATCTTATTAGATTCTTGTCCAGAAAGAATAGAGCAAGAGGTCCTAATAGGCCCTCATTATGTTAATGAGAAAATTGTAGATACATTTGTTTGTATTTTGTGTTGTATGTGTAGCAGCAGAGAGTGGAATTTAAAATGGGGGAAGTATGGTTAAATTGATATCTGTAAACGTGCAGGGTCTTAACTCATCGATAAAGAGATGAATGGTGATAAGCCACATAAGAAGAGCAAAAGCAGATAAATGCTTTCTCCAGAAGACCCACTGGAGATGACTGAATAAAAGTCAATGGAATCCAAATGGATTTCCTTTGGTAACTCAAGCCTCAAGAACAGATAACAAAAAGAGACGCGGAGTAGCTATCCTATTCTCTAATACTCTACAGGTAGAGATTCTATACAAATTTTTAGATAAAGATGGTCGCTATATGATTCTGGTCTCTAAAATAAATAACATTAAGTATACTTGGGTGAATTTACATCTTCCAAATGTTGCCCCAATAACTCTATTAAAGAGAATACTAGAAAAGGTAGAAGAAGTAAAGGAGGGTATTCTTGTAATAGCAGAGGATTATAACTCAATCCTAGATCCAACTCAGGATAAACAAATACCAGCAGGAGCCACTATTAATAGATATATTTCAAAACAAGCAAAATCTGTAACAAACACTCCTAATTTAAACAACCTGTTTGATATATGAAGGGTGTTTCACCTTGAAGATAAAGGTTTACTCATCTCTCCATAGTTCACCACTCTCTTTCGAGAATTGACATGATTTGGGGGCAATCACATGTTAGTAGATAAGTTTAAAAGAATTGAAATCATTGATAATGCGTGGTCTGATCAAAGCATTTTGGAAATGGATTTGGATAGTGATTTCCCATCCTTTAATAGAACAACTTGGAGACTTAGAGATTCCCTATTAGAAAATAAAGGAAACCATAGACATATACAACATAAAATAGAAGATTATTTGTTGGATAATAATATATTAGATACTTCTTCGGGCATATATTGGTGTGCCTTTAAGACTGTGATGCGTTACAAAGTCGAATAAAGAAGCAAATGGGTAAACCGCTATCCCATCTATATCCCATCTATATCTAAATTGTGTAGAGAGTATAAAGTAAATCTGTCAAAGGACACTTTGGACAAACTTATTAAAAATAAAGCCTTAATTAGGGATAAAATCACAGAAAGAATAACAGCAAATCTTTAAAAAATGAAAATAAACTATTACTACAGAGGAAATAGGACAGATAAAATCCTTACTAAAAAAATTAAAGAAAAAACAAACAGATAATAGAGTTCATGAATTAACAGTTGACTCAAACATATATTAACCCTGTAGAAATTGGGAGGCATTTTAATGATTATTATTCTAATCTTTATAATATAGAATCTAAACCTGGATTGGCATTAATATAGAAGTATTTTTCTAAGACTTCTTTTCCTATTCTTAAAAATCATCATAAAGATCAATTTAATAGATCTATTACCAGAGAAAAGATAGGAAGGGCTATATCCGATTTGAAAAAAATATAACTCTCCAGGACCTGACGTTTTTTCCAATTATTTTTTCAAGTCATATGCCTCTAAGATCACAGATGTCCTGACTAAAGTATTATAATTGAGGGTGGGGAATTTCACGGAAAGATGACAAGAGTAAATACTTTCCCTATATTAAAGCAGGGTAAGACCCCAACAGAGATCTCCAACTACCATCCAATATATTTAATTAATGTTAATATGAAGATATATGCATCAGTGCTTTCCGCTAGACTGAAAACCATCATTGGAGAGTTAATCCATTTTTATCAAGTGGGTTTTGTCCCGGGAAGAACTTAATCAAATTTTAGAAGGATTATAGATGCCTTGGATTATGTGAATGAGAAGAGGATTCCCCTCATGACTCTGTCATTGGATGCAGAGAAGCCTTTTGACAGAGTCGGGTGGGACTTCTTGGCTTCTGTTTTGGCGATATTTGGTTTTACAGGGAGATTTTTACAAGCTATAATGGCCCTCTACGACAATCCTTCATCTAGAACAATAGGCCCTAACATCTGCTCCTCCTGGTTCAATCTTTCAAATAGAACCAGGCAAGGTCATCCCTTATCTCCTCTTATTTTCATTCTAACTGTAGAGAAACTGGCAGCTAATATTAGGAACTGTAATAATATAAAAGGTCTTAAGATTAAAAGAAAGCAGAGGCCAAAGTCAATATTTATGCTGACAACATCATAATCACTGTAACATCACCCAAGAAATCTATGATAGCTTTAATGAGCGAAATGGAAGAATATAGCTTAGCATCTAATTTTAAGTTACACCAATAAATCTATAATTATGGCTTCTAACATTAAGAAATCAGAAACAGATCAATTTCAGAGTAATTTTTAATTTATATGGGCAAAACAGAGTTTGGAATATTAAGGCCTAGAAGTGGTTGGAGATGTTCAAAGGACCATGGAGTTAAACTTTTTAAAACTCCTAAGACAGACCAACATATTGTTAAAAAAATGGGGACAATTTGAAATATCATGGTGGGGAAGAGTAAATACCATTTGAAACTATGTTCTACCGAAATGGTCGTATCTTTTCCAGATGATTCCTTTGAAGGTAACTCCCCCATGGATATTAATGATCCAGAGAATTTTCAATGGTTTTGTCTGAAAGGACCAGACCCCGAGAATAAGTAGAAATAGCTTAGCACTGAAAACTAAAAAAGGAGGAATGAATATGCCTTTATTGGGGGATCTTTATAGAGCTAACATTTTAACACATATATATAGATCTCAGCTACATGGTTTAAGGAAAGAATTTTGGTGGCAAGCTGCATGTGAAATGACTAATATGAACAATTGGGAAATGGACATATGGAATATTGAAGACCGCTATAATCTAAAGAATAGCTGGAAATGTAATCTTATTGTAAGCAATTTGATGGAAGAGTGGGAAAGATTAAAGAAAAAAATTTTTTTGAATTTCTTTAAACTTGAGATAGTGGAAGCTAATATAGAAAATATCATGTTTAGAAATTGGATAAGCAATGGTATTAAACAGGTAGATCAAATCATGGTTGGCACTAATATTAAACTGTTTCCCCGATTACAAAAGGAATTTTCTCTACAATATTCTGAATTATTCTCATATTTGAGAATTAAAAACTTCATAGGTCTTTACAAGACAGAATCTACATCAGAAGATATTTTAAATATATATAGGCTGTTAAATGGCGATATTGTAAATAGACCTTTGTCAAGATCTATGGAATTTATATCCTTTCAATCTCCTGTGGATATTTCAGTGATAACTAGATGGGAAAAAGTATTGGGCCATCAAATAGCTACAACTGAATGGGCAAAAGGTTTCTATTTGGTCACAAAAAACATTCACTGCCTAAACTATGTAGAAACTCATGTAAAGGTTATATATAAATGGTATTATAAACCAGATAAGCCTCAGAAAATATCTGCCACAAATTCGGATATATGTTGGAGATGCAATCAAGTTACAGGCCCATATATTCATATATGGTGGTACTGTCCAAAAATACTTAGACTTTGGACTAAATTGTTTGATTGTCTTGGCCAAATTGGTATTCCCAATATTATTAGGTCACCAGAAGTGGCCCTTCTCCATCTTGACTGGCCAAGTTTTACTAAAGTAGAAAAAAATTTCATAATTCATTATTTTGTATCTGTTAAAATCATGATTGCACGTAGATGGAGGCAAGTAGAATCGCCGATCTGGAGCGAGATCAACAAACTAATAAAGAAACAATTGGTAATGGAGCAAGGTCTCACCCATCCAAATAGTTTCATTATAAAGAAAAAAAGTGGTGATATTAGAAAGAGGACAGAAGCTTTAAATAAGTGGTCGGATGGATAGATCGTGCACGTAGATCAGGGGTCCTCAAACTGTGGCCCTCCAGATGTTGCTGAACTACAACTCCCATGATTCTCTGGCTATCTATGTAATTCAAAGAATCATGGGAGTTGTAGTTCAGCAACATCTGGAGGGCCACAGTTTGAGGACCCCTGACATACATGATGATGTATCCCTTTGTTAGTGCAATGTTTAAGTATATATATATATATATCACTCTCTGTTGTTACTTTTAATATGTCTGTCTTAATTATTATAATGGGATATGGTATAGATGTCCTATATAATGTAATAGATGTCAAAATATTTTCTTTAAATAAGTACACTGCTTTTGAAGTTTTAGACATCTTGTATAGATAACAGATGATGTTTAACTGAGAGATAGAGTCATACATTATATATCTGTCTGTTTCTATGTATGTTATAAAATGAGAAAAAATGTCTATAAAGATTTAATTAAAAAAAATAAAAAAATAAAAATACAGCTAAATAAATTATTGGTCCTTATGGGGTTAATCAAAATTAGATATTGCATATGTGCAATGGGAGCCAAGAGAGATGCACACTAGAAAAGACAAATTATAAAATATTTATAGCAAGTGGAAAAGATGACAAAAGAAAATAAAGCTGCTTTAAATATTTTACTTGATTGATGAAAACATAATAACGCTATCCATAATTTCTCCCACTTCTATAAATAAAGAATAAATCATTTATAATATAAATTTCATATTATAAAATGCAAACCCCTTTGCAATACACACACATATACACTGAACAAAATTATAAACACAACACTGTTGTTTTTGCCCCCATTTTTCATTAGCTGAACTCAAAGATCTAAGACTTTTTCCATGTACACAAAAGGCCTATTTCCCTCAAATATTGTTCACAAATCTGTCTAAATCGGTGTTAGTGAGCACTTCTTTGCCGAGATAATCCATCCATCTCACACGTGTGGCATATCAAGGTGCTGATTAGACAGCGTGATTATTGCACAGGTGTGCCTTAGGCTGGCCACAATAAAAGGTCACTCTAAAATGTGCAGTGTTACTGTATTTGGGAAAGGAGGGGGGTCCGAAAACTAGTCAGTATCTGGTGTGACCCCCATTTGATCAGGTTCTTGATTGTGGCCTGTGGAATGTTGGTCCACTCCTCTTCAATGGCTATGCGAAGTTGCTCGATATTGGCAGGACCTGGAACACGCTGTCATATACGCCGATCCAGAGCATCCCAAACATGCTCAATGTGTGACATGTCCGGTAAGTATGCTGGCCATGCAAGAACTGGGATGTTTTCAGCTTCCAGGAATTGTGTACAGATCCTTACAACATGGGGCCATGCATTATCATACTGCAACATGAGGTGCCCTGTACAGTGAAAATCAGGATTCATCTATGAAGAGAACACCTCTCCAAAGTGCTAGACACCATTGAATGTGAGCATTTGTCCACTCAAGTCGGTTACGATGACAAACTGCAGTTAGGTCGAGACTCCGTTGAGGACAACGAGCATGCAAATGAGCTTCCCTGAGATGGTTTCTGAGAGTTTGTGCAGAAATTATTTGGTTATGCAAACCGATTGTTGCAGCAGCTGTCTGGCTGGCTGGTCTCATACGATCTTGGAGGTGAAGATGCTGGATGTGGAGGTCCTGGGCTGGTGTGGCTACACATGGTCTGCAGTTGTGAGGCTGGTTGGATGTACTGGCAAGTTCTCTGAAACGCCTTTGGAGATGGCTTATGGTAGATAAATGAACTTTCAATTTACGGGCAACAGCTCTGGTGGACATTCCTGCAGTCAGCATGCCAATTGCATGCTCCCTCAAAACTTGCCACATTTGTGGCATTGTGTTGTGTGATAAAACTGCACATTTTCGAATGGCCTTTTATTGTGGCCAGCCTAAGGCACACCTGTGCTATAATCATGCTGTCCAATCAGCATCTTGATATGCCACACCTGTGAGGTGGATGGATTATCTTGGCAAAGTAGAAGTGCTCACTAACACAGATTTAGCCAGATTTGTGAACAATATTTGAGAGAAATAGGCCTTTTGTGTACATAGAAAAAGTCTTAGATCTTTGAGTTCAGCTCATGAAAAATGGGGGCAAATACAAAAGTGTTGCATTTATAATTTTGTTCAGTGTATATATATATATATATATATATATATGAAATGCAAAGTTACATTGCAGATATTTAGAATATATTTTTGACCATTAACATAAAATAAAGTTTTGAATCATATTTTTATTCCATTTTATATTTACTTCTCTGACCAGTGTTTACATTGCATTTGGTCATTCAGTAACATCACTGGAATATATATTAGTATTTGTCAAGACTAATAACAATACCATTACGTTCTCTGTACATATTCAAATATACTTTGCATGACTGCTTGATTTTCAATTATCAATAATACTAATATAATGTCTAAACATGCTTGCTACTGTTCAGTCATTAGGCACCAACTGTTTAATTTATCAGTTCCCTTTCATGGTGTTGATGTCAAAATTTTAGAATTCCATTGACAACCAGAAGTAAACTTTAACAAGGAATACTTTATAGACCAATATGAGACATGCCTTTAGTCATGTTTAACATTCTAATGTGAGGTCAGTGAAGCGAATTAACATCTGCAAGTCACACCACGGATGCCTGTTTTCATATATTAACATGCTGTTCAAACTGGTTAACCTCGATGAGGGAGCACATGCCAGAAGCTAATATGGTTATATATCAGGCAAGTGTCACTGTTCAGAAAGAACGTTGAGTAAAGGCAGATTCCATTTTCCAATTTATGAAATGTTAAAATGTAAAAATACCAGTTTAGCAATTCTAAATGGCACCCAATACAAATACATTAATAAAACAACCAGTTAACGGACTAACAATTATTATAGGCATATACAGATGCAGCTATGTCCAGGGGAACATGGTCACTGTGACTTTAAAAAAATATATTATAACACTTAAAAAATATATTATAACAAGTGCCAAAATCACCTGATATTAATAAAGTAGATTTGATGCACGGTCCCAGTCCATTTTTTTGTTCAATGTAAAATATTTAAAAATGGCAATGTGACGAAGGTTGCATGCCCCGTCTATAGTATAACGGACACATTGCAATCATGGGGCTCCAGGGGTCGACTTAGTCATAATGTACTTCTGATCACATATCCTAGCAATGAATCTGGATGGAGTCAAAATGATCTGTTTAAGTTTTCACATCGGTTGCAAATCATACCTCTCCCTCATGTTTTTCTTGTACTGCCAATAATTTTTTTTTAAAAGTTGTATATATATCTGATTGTAAACCATGCTTGTCAAATAAAAGTATTAATAAATTGAGAACAAATGTAATTTGGTTGCCAATAAATAATGTTTACATAGAGAGCATAGTTTGTAGGAAATTGTCAAACCAGAGTGCTGCTATGCTCATTAACCCTGACCTAGCGTTAATTATCCGTGATGTTCTCTCTGTTTTGTGAACAGTTATTGCATATTCAAAAGAAATCATTTGCTTGTGAAGAAAAAGTAAAAAGAATAGTTCATGGAATACATGTCATATTATGTAAATATTGTACATCTGGGATTCCTTAAAGACACACTGTGTACACTATAAAAAGCTAGGCACCTTGCTTAGACTACAGAGGAATGATCTCCCTGAAAAAAATAAATGTAGAAAATATTAATAATTTTTTTAAAGTCGCCAGCTGCTCTATGATAAAAGACATATAAAAGCATTACGAAAGATATAACATATGGATTACATAGGTAAAAGCAAAATCAAGATTGTTCACAACTCCCAAAACAAGGGAAAACAAATAGACCCCCAAAAGTAGATATTTCCAAAAAGAAGACCCACTCAATCCTTTCAAATATATGAAGCTATATGAGGTAAACTGATTTCCTATAAAATACTCAAAAAGTCATAAAATAGTGACTTTACATCTCATGCCCTAAAATAAGTATACATTAGAATACATAAGAATGACAAAATAAATTACACCATCATTCCTAAAGCTAGGTGTTTGTTATATTTTCCACAAAAGCATTTCCAGTTTGCACATCTAGTTAGTGCATGTGTATTTTAAACCTGTACATAAAATATTACAATTTAAGTGAAGAAATTAAAGGGACACCGTAGGCACTGTATCTGCTTCATCTCATTAAACTGGTTATAGTGTCTGGAGTCCCCTGGTGCCATCATTTCTTTCAGCATTAAACAGTTTTTAATGTTTTAATGCTAAACAAGAGTCCACGGCAGTCTATCCCTCTGTGCTGCTTTGGCTAATAAGGAAGTATTACCCTGAGAGGCAAAGGGCAGCTGTGATTGGCTGAGAGTGTCAGCTGACTGCTTTTAACCTGTCAGAGCTTCAACTGACGGTATGGATGGGTATGACAACAAGGAAGTGTGTAATCTCTGCCTTAGCTACACATACAGAAGGGGCCGGACTGTGGGTGGCCAGGGACTCTTATTTTGTGGCATACTACACGAACATCGTGCAACACTGAATGGAGGGACAGTGCCAGGCCACTCCAGGCACTATAACTAATTCAAAGAGACAAAGTGGTTATAGTGACTACAATGTCCCTTTAAGTGTGTACACTTGGGTGAGACCACAGAAATCTTGCACTACAGCTGCTGTGACCTAAAACGTCCATCATGTTTAGTCAGTGGCTGATCAACTGGAGTTAGAACAAAAAAAAAAAAATCAATATAATTGCAAAGTCCGTTGAGTACGCTGGAAAAATAAAGGCCACTCTAGGCATCATAACAACTATAGATACATTATGTGGCTATGGTGTAAGAGTCTGCCAAAAAAACGAGGCTCTCACGTCACCTACAGCTAACCCTATCTGGTGTGCTTGACTAGTGTGGAAGTTAAATTATGCCTAAGCTTGTCCAACTTTGTGAACCAATGACAGTCTGAGAGTACTGTGCTAATCCACTCACAGCCTTATACATTTATATAGTAGTTTAATACATATTATCTCAGTATGTAACATAATAGCTAACTTGAAGTTGTTTTAGTGGTAAATAAAATTGAATACATCATCTAAACTGATATTGTGGCAAAATAATGATGGGTTCCTGGATACAGTATATGTTTAGAAAGAAATAATTAGTTTAAAAGCTAAACTAAAAATAAATATGTTTCCAATAGAGACATAAAAAATGATTACTTGTTAGAACTAGAATTTAAATGGTAATGGCATATGCAATTACTTTTACTTATACACTATAATGTGGAATATGGCGCAATTTAAAAATAGGTATTGTTATACTTCAATGTTATGTGCAGGAATAAAATGCTTTCATTCAGATTTTATTGCAAATTGTATAAATAATCAAGTATAAATTAAATCCATTGTCCCTGTTTAATAGTCACACTAGCATTTTTTATTTCTTTTTAATAGGTTTTCAGTTATCTACTCAGTACCACATATTTCTGCATACAGCCATAATTCATTGACAATGAATTTGCATTAAAGGAACACTGCAGTGTTAGGAATACGAAAGTCATTGGAATACGAAAGTCATTTAGATCAATGGTCTCAGTAAATCAAATGCATTCCCATAGGAAATCAATGAGAGCACAGTGTGCATGCTCTGCAAAATGCTGCTCTGTGCCAATCATATGGTTCCTCTAAGACCATCTGGTTGAAATTGTGTAGTTCTTCTCCACTATTTCGGCAGAAATGTCTCTAGGGGCTTTCGGTATGACTGTCACTAAAAGCAGGTTAGCCCGGCAATGAAAACTTTGCAGTTCCTGCAGAATGGCAATATTTTCAGCTGCATGGTTAAACAGGTGGGTGAGGGACCTGGTACCCAGACCACTTAATCGAGATGAAACTTCTGCGTGCCAATAAAGTCCAATTAATTGAGGTGTAGATTTTTATTTTAAGACCAAGGTGCTATTCTGGAGCAAATTGTTAAATAACAAACGATCACACTGAAAGCAACAGAATGTCTTTCACTTTTAACCTTTAGCATTTTGCACCCAGAAAAAAAACATATTTTGCCTTGATAAATTTCCCACTATCATCTTATTATGAAGAGCAGAATATCTCTTTTTTTCCCATGCTTTTTTCCTTTTTAAACGGGATTGTCAAAACCTTACACATTTCTAGATAAGTAATTTTGTCCAAAACCTGAACAATATACACTTAGTGCATAGACATTGCTTGCAGCATGCAGCCATTTCAATGAGTTTTGTTAATTAATGTTAAAGAGACACTATAGTCACCTGAACAACTTTAGCTTAATGAAGCAGTTGTGGTGTATAGAACATGCCCCTGCAGCCTCACTGCTCAATCCTCTGCCATTTAGGAGTTAAATCCCTTTGTTTATGAACCCTAGTCACACCTCCCTGCATGTGACTTGCACAGTTTTCCATAAATACTTCCTGTAAACAGAGCCCTATTTAGGCTTTCTTTATTGCAAGTTCTGTTTAATTAAGATTTTCTTATCCCCTGCTATGTTAATAGCTTGCTAGACCCTGCAAGAGGCTCCTGTAAGTGATTACATTTCAATTTAGAGATTGAGATACACTTATTTAAGGTAAATTACATCTGTTTGAAAGTGAAACCAGTTTTTTTCATGCAGGTTCTGTCAATCATAGCCAGGGGAGGTGTGGCTAGGGCTGCATGAACAGAAACAAAGTGATTTAACTCCTAAATGACAGTGAATTGAGCAGTGAAATAGCAGAGGAATGATCTATACACTAAAACTGCTTTATTTAGCTAAAGTAATTTAGGTGACTGTAGTGTTCCTTTAATATATTTGTCATGATTTCTTAAGCCAGATGCATCAGTAGTAAAACAGATGGCACTGGTTTAACAACCAAACCTCAATATTAACATACTTGAAAACAAGTTAATTAAAGGAAAACTATAGCATTATGAATATCTTTCAAAGCAGGGGCTTAAAAGGTAACTTTTATTTACATTACATCCCGCGGTGCTCTTATCCCCATACTGGTGCTCTGCCTCCTTGCCTGAGATCATCAGTCTCAATGTATAGGGCATACATACTTATTTATATGGCATACTCCCAGGAAGGTTTCTAAGCAACAGCATTACAAAACAATACAAACAATACAGACCTTTAAGTACTGCTGTTGCAGTTTCTGAAGAACTTTTAATTTCTCAAGGCCCTGCAATCCTCCATTTTAGAAAAGCCATAACTTCTCTTCCTCAATGATAGGGCCAATTCCCAAGCAGGAACTAAAGCACTCTACAAGTAGCTAATAAGGACTTGTGTTTCCCTGGGTGAAGAGATTCTTCTTGCGGCTTTGTCCTTAGAAATCACTGACATCTTACTTTAGTAAATATGATTTGCTAACATGGCTCATAAAGACATTTGGACATTGTTTGTGACATACAAAATATCACATAGGGCACTATATGAAACATTGAATGACAAAAACAATGATATTGTGGGTTGGGGAGGCTATTCAGCAATATTTAATCCTAAAAGCTAAACACAAGCTATTAAACACCGGTAGATAAAATGAACCATTTATAACAATAAATCATTTCAAAATGGAAAACAATCAAAGAAAGAGAACACAAGGTGTTCCACACATGTTAAACATATAATACGATTATTATTATGTCATTTTATCAGGAAACATTCTCTTTTCGTCTCTACATTTTTTTCCATTTTTAAAACAAGGCAAAGTGAATGTACTTTTTTACATAAAAAAAAAAAGCCAAACAAAAAAGCTTACGAATAATGTTTCCAATTTAGCTGTTTTTATCTAAAATTTTATATTCTTTCAATTCCTAAAAAAAAAAAAAAATCACACTTTACTGAATAACCCTTGAGTTTAATAAATAAATGTGTCAAAACTGTTTACAAGAAATTATTATTGTTTTAGTTAATTCATCTTCCTCAATTGTAACTCAAGTCCCAAATGATTCACAATATACACTATACAAGTATGATTAGTACTTTGAGATAAACTTTCTAACTGTGTTTCAGCGTAAAGAGGAAATGTGACTTCCCTGGAATATAATCCATTGAAAAAACCCATTAAACATTATCTATAACTTGTGTTAACTTTTTTTTTTTTTTTAGAAGATGCTCCATGTGCTTTTAGATTTATTTAAAAGATTTAGCAAATAACATCATAATTAAATTCAGACAAGGCAAAGTCAGGACAAACATTGCAAATAAGGAGGAAAAATAGAAACATTTTGCTTCTCATCTGTATGCTTTTTCTATACTGACTGTCAGATACAAAGAACAGAGCTTATAACAATGACTGACAGGAGCTAAGATGGAGGCACCAAGTTGCAGGATAAAGAATCATTTATTTCAAAATTTTATTACATTTTTCACATCTCAAAAATGCATATTTATTAAATACATTAACACATAAACATAATATTAATAATCCTGGGAAGTGATAGTTCCCCTTTAATTTTGCTAACTACATCACTTTTAATCTATGTACAGTATAGTGCTTTGGATAAGATCGATTAGGAGTCGTTAAATACATTAATGAAATAGATTTTTCACACATTTCTCAAATGCAAGCTGTTATCCATAAACTAATGTTGGATGGGGGGCGGGGCCAGACCGCCAAGCTGGACGGTCTCAAACAAGAGCTGCTCCTGCAAAACATCAACGATTATACTAAAAAAAATGTCTTACCACCTTAAAACCGACCAACAGCGACGATACCCAGAGCACAAGGACTGCTGGATCCAGGGAGAGGCTGGCTCACCGAGCTTCAGTCCCCGGGAGGAGATATTCTCGTTGCCCCAAGCGAGGCCTTCTCCGGTGGTGAGTGGGGCGGATGGCCGCTGCCCCACTATCCTGCACCACAGAACCCAACCTGAGTCACATACTCGGGTGGCTCTGGATCCGTTCCCCCCCCCCATGTACCGGTGGGTGTGAACCCGGTCCTTAACCTGTGGCCCTGCACAAGTCATCGCAAACTGAACTGGGGGTTCCGGGTGAGGCTCCCAAGATGGCGGGCGCCATGTGCGCGGGAAGCAGGGGGAAGACCTGCTACCTCCCCATGCTCACAGCTGACAAAAAGGTTCCAACACTCCGACCCTGCAACTTGAAGGGGCAGAAAAACCCTCATCTACCCCCGCAGCCACTTATGCCAGAGTCGAGCGGCACAAGCGACCCAAACAAGCGGACAACAACGACCGCACCGTGGGGAGGGAATACCACGCCATGACCATTCCCTCCCGGAATAGCAGTGCCAGTCACCAAACGAGTTACCCCTGCAAGAGGACCAACTGCATACCCACCTCCCACCCAGCCTGTATCACCACGACCCAGACAGTGGAAAACACAGCCTAACGACATCAAGCTCCCAGCCATACCTGACAGCAGCCTTCATATGACCAAAAACAGCAAGCTCAGCATCACATGGCTGCTACTCAAGGGAACTCAGAGAGGACCCCAAGTAACCGCATGGATGGACTTTGCCAGGATAACTGCTCCGACGGACACTCGCACCCTTCCAAACAGAACTAGCAGAGCAGGTATAGGCTAATCGTGAGATTCCTTCTATCTGTGCGGCCTTGGGACCACCATGACGCCGGCCCTTTCTCACGGAGGAAGCTCGGGTATCCCCCGATATACCAGGGTGACAGAATTACCACAGCGACTTACCTAGATCTCACTTGCATGTTATTACGTATTTTGTATTATATAGTAACCATATGTACACATAATTTACATGGTACACATAAGCGCGCACTCGCACAGGTGTTACTACATTACAAGCAACTCACAAACTAGCCCAACGCAACCACATTGCAGCATTACTTACTACATTTAATATTACTAACAAAGTGAGAATCTGAACTGCCGCAATGATGACTTGGGTATAAACGTCTTCACTTTTGTAAATTGCATGGCTACATAAATACTTAAGCAGATCATTAAGGAATAACTATACATAGTTAGCCTAGCATGTTTAATGCAAACTGTAGATATCTTACAGCCTGTTACTCTCATGATATTAAAAAAAAAAAATGTGCTGTTTAACCTGCCACACTGTGAAATGCTATGAAACTGCTGGCAGCAGCTGTCGTGGCTCTGCACGCTTTTTGTTACTTCATGCACAAATAAAATAAAGAATTATAAAAAACTAATGTTGGATCATATCTGGATATAACATTCATGTTATACTGCATAACAAGAAGGACTGTATGTCTTGCATTCATTTTTTTAATGTCTTCACTAAGAAATACACATTTTTATTTTGCTCCATGTAATGTGGTATATGACAACATTAGATAATGCATTAAAAATATGCAAAATGGGGCGTGGCTCCTTGACATTTAAATTTTTTTATTATTCAGTTAATAATCTTACACTGCCAGAGGCTACTTCCAACGCTATGCGAATTGCCTATGACTTATGCTATGTTTGTAATTCCCCGAAGTAGGAATACTGGGGACTAATATGGGGGTGAGTGAGAGAGAAATAATATGACAGTGGTCCTCTAGGGAGGTATACGTATGAGGGAGGGAGAGACAGACCTGAGACAGTTGAGCGATATCGTACACCCAGATTACACGGTATGCCGTCACCCGACGACACATAGAGATCGGTCTCCTGCTATGGATCACTAGCCATCCACAAATTTCGGAGGATCTGTCTTAAACACCGACCATTTGAGTGGGGACTTGATATAATCTGAAGTACTAGACAGCATTTAGAAAAGTTAGAGCATAAGGGGGACAAATAAGGGAAAGCATGCATGTCGTATAACACATATAGTAAGAAGGTGGACGTAGTGCACATGAGAGGGGATGATGGCAGAGGTGCAATGTTAGCTTACACACAGTGGAGAGTGACCCCTTATAGAGGTGTGAAGAAAAGAGTATGTGACCAGATGACGTGGCGAATGCGACTATACAGGGAAAGTATGAATGTGTTAGGGGATGCCCCTGGAGAATGTATATGGAAACCTGAGGATTTATCAACAGGGTTCTTAACTGTTTAACGTCAACTATTGTTTTATACTCTTGAAAAATGTATGTTCTTGCATATTACCAAAACATGTCGAGATCTTTCCACAACAAAAATAAAGAATTAAAAAATATATATATATACACGCAAAATAATTATACCCTCTTGGGTTTGCAGTTTCTTGTGATGAGCTCTGCCCAGACTAGGAAGAAGTTAAAACCTATCAGCTAATCTTAGCCTTCCCACTGTTTCCAACTAGATTGCTAAGCATAGCCTCCTATTTTAAAGGGTCATAAGATAGGTAGTTCAGCACTAGCAACAGCCCTATCAGTTAGGAAGTATTATTATTGATGAAAAGTGTTTGAGTAGTAACGTAGAGAGCTAATGATAATGCAACAAGACTGTGTATGTGCATAACTCTGTGGCTACAAAAGTTGTTAAGGAGCTTGTTAGTGAAGATGGGCACCAGCACATTGAGCACACGTTGTTCAAGCAGTTGAGTGGGCAGGAGTAGCATATGTTCCCCCCGCAATATCTAAATAAGGAGGTGGGTTTATAACTGCATATAACTGTTAATAAAGAATGTGTAAAGGGACAGAGGGGTATGGTTGTAGCACTAAAACCTGCATAAGAATTATATGTTATTTTGGTACTTGGAGAGTCCTCTTAAACATGTTTAAGTAAAATGTAACTGCTCAACTAATTTTTTTGTTATGCAGACCGGGAACAATGATTTACATGTTGAACAATACTTATCAGTTGTTCTAGATGTTTAGATGACTGCACTGTACAACTTGGGATAACAATTTAACCTTATTTAATTTTATAAAGAAAGGAATTTCTTTTCATTCTTACGATATTGGGGAACTTACACTCACAAAAAAAGGTATGATAATCTGTCTCTCCACTCTGTATGCAACATTATTCATGCCAGTTTTTAGATGTCTTTCAGCCAGATATGACCATCTGCCAGAGTAAGTTCAGCTCTGCACATGGGAAGATGAGTCAATGTCTATATGCATTAAACAATAATCAAATCAAGCAAAGTGTTTGTACAATTTCCTTAGCAATATTTTGTACTGCCAAAACTTCATGATGTGTTAAATCTTTTCACATGACAGAATACTTTTTCCCCAATTGATTAGTCTTTTACTGGGATTTATATGATACTGTTATTAGTCAAAAGTATATGCTTGAACTACCAAGTTTACATGAAATTTCTGCATTATCTTTTTTGTTATGAATCAATCATATTGTTTAGATTGCAAATAATTGCTCCACCATTATGCCCAGATGTGGGATGGTAAATGGGTGGGGGCAAATGCCCCTAGGCTGCTCTAATTTAGGCACAATGATATTAAGTCAACAGCCCAAAGAATTCATCATTGGAATATTTAAATGTTTGCATCAGAGCAGGATTAACCATAAAATGACCCTATGCGGTAGCCCAGGGCACAAGGGTTAGATGGTTGCCACAAAACCATGAATTTGCTTGGCACCATTTATCATCCTCATGTAAAGAATGAATGGGGGAGGCATACTTGTAATCTGCCATGGGCCCTGTGAGATCTTTCGTTGGTTTGTGTACATTCAAGAGAAACTATAAATGCAGGGAATACAAAATTGAATTCCTGGCACTATAGCTCCCTCTGCCTCTTCCCTCTCCTCCCTCCTCCTCTCCCCCCTCACCATGGCAGTGAATGAAGGGTTAGAATACCTTTTTTTACTTACCTGATCCCAGCGCCGATGTCCCTTGTGCTGTGTCACAGCTCCACTTCCTCCAAGTGTTGCTCCCTCTTTAGGCCTACCCATAGGCAAGCATTGAATCAGCGTCGCATGTAGCACTATGACATTTATTTGCTTTTTATTAATAAGTACACGTATAAGAAATAACATTATCCAAAGTCAGTGGCTCAATTGGGGCAGCCGCCAAAGGCACTTCTGTGGCATTGGTCAAGTAAAGCGTGGTCACAGGACAAGGAATGGTAAAACATTGATTTGCACCTGTGAGTAACATTGAATTGGAATATCATGGGAGATACCATGTTTCCTCCATGACATTGCAGGAGAAGGAGATGTAAGCAGCCCCAAGGGAGCTCAACACTTTAAAAAGGTAAGTAAAAGGCTTTACGTTATGAACATGTATTGCAACAAGGGGAAGGGACCTCTATAACTAGAGACAGGGACACTAAAACATTAGAAATACATGTTTGTATTCCTAACGCTTTAGTGTTCCTTTAACAAAATAGCTAGACATTTTTTAAATAAGCAAACCATTAGCAGACATTTTATTTTACAAAGTAGTACTCCTGGCTTACTGGACCAGCTTAGCTTATTTTATAAATTCTCTGATCATGAATGCAGATGTGAAATCTCTATATCCCTTATTGTATGACATCATACTTTAGCGTTTTAGAGTTGCCAAGAGGTTTGAGGCTTTTATTGGAATTTGGAATTTCCAGTATAAACTTTTAAGCAAAATACATCTTACAGGTTTATTATATTAAGGCTGGATGTATAGTATAATCATAATGAGTTGATTAATGGCCAATATAGAGTCATTGAAGAACTTATTTAACGATTCTATTTTACATAATTTATGTAGTAACTTGTATTTTCTTACTACATAATTTTAATGGGACTAACAATTAATGTTCAGTTCGGGGCGATCTGAAATAGCACACAGTGTAACAATAATTGGAATAAATACGTGAGAACTGTCTTATAAAAGTTTGTTGTCTAGCATATTATCCAAAGTTAATTTTGACAATTGAAATATTGGTTTATATATAATCTTGTAAACATGCAATTACCTAAGTTTGATACATAATATCCCTGGCAATTTTTCCCATAGCTAGTAAATTATGCTCTTTATTTTGACCATGTATTTTACAACAAATCTGGGACTTATAATCACAAGGCTATGAGTTGCTTGGAGATGAGATAGAATTGCTCCTTCTCTAATCTACAATCTGTTCTAATGTTATGCAGGTTGTATTGCTCTTTCCAACTTGCTCATTTGTATATTAAACCATAACATAGTGTACTTGAATACTTGTTTGTACTAAAGTTGCCAAACTTGAAATTAATATGAATATAACAGTAAAATACATACTGAGAAGATAGGGAAATGAAGGACACAGTCCTGTGAGCTACTGCAAACATAATGAGGTTTGAGCTGGTAACTGATAATTCAGAAGGTACCTGGGATGGCACAACCACCATTTTTTCAGGAGATACTTAGCAAGGGAA